TAATAATAATAGATTTATAAGGCACTTTTTCTCCACGATTCGAAGGCGCTAATTACTTATTGTATACCCTAAAATGTAAAAAGGCTTTTATTTATGTGCCACTTAAAAACGAGTATGGAAAATGACAAGTTTTGGTGGAACTCCAGTCCGAATATGGAGAGCCAAGAGGTACACAACGGTAAAATGTTCAAGACGTACCTGTTCGGTCCTATTTGAGTTGCTTTCTACAGAGCTGTGACCTGTTTTATGAAGCAGTAACGTTATGCCGACCATTAAAGATTACATTTTGTTTCTCCACATTGTTTATCTTACATTCTTAAATGTAACGTCCTTCACAGGGCACTTACATTATAGACTCAATTTTGCCCTCTCAACTTCCTTATTTGTAATGTGTAAGCCTGTAGTCACCTATAGGAACTGACGTAAACACAAAATGTCGCTTTGAACGTTTTTTTCTTGTACTTTAGGCCACGCTTGAACGACTATGACGGTAGGTAGCTAATTGTTTGCCTAATGCTGTCCTTCCATGGTCTTCTTTTATTCTTATGTCAATAGAAGGCGGCTAGTAAACAAAGAGATAAAAGGTTATTTAGCTAGCCCAAAGTACTTAGTGATTCAATTTTTTTTGTAAAAGTAGGAGTACTTCAATACGATTTCACAGATAAGCAAAAGCAAACTAACACCAAGTTGGTCTGGTTTCGCGCATTCCTTCACTGGCACTCAACCGCTCGAGAGTACCTCGCCATTCCTGGGTTGTCAAACTTTTCTCCGTTGATCTCTCCTCAGAAAGGCGTCGTAAGTATCTCCTTGCTCTTCTTTCGTCAAGTTAACTCCTGCCTGCTGCGCTCCAAGTGAGTGATAATAGCCGGCGAATCACTCATTCAGGAAACAATTCAAACGAACTTAAAAGTGGACGAAATGAATTCCACCAGCACAAATTATGAAAACAGTGGGACTATCGACGGCATCGCCTTCTTGCAGCTCTCCGTCCTGTTTCTGACGCTCGTGTTTGGCTTCCTCGGCAATGCGCTGGTGGTTGGCGTTGTCATTTTCCATCGCCAAATGCGCACGAGGACGAACATATTTCTAACTCAGCTGGCGGTGACCGGGATAGGAGTCTGTGTGTTCTGCATACCGTTCATGATAGTCGCTCTTATCAAACAAGCCTGGGTCTTTGACGAAGCGCTGTGCAAGTTTAACGGATTTACCGTCCCCTTCTGGTTCGCCTCGTCTATTTTCACGTTAACCGCTGTAAGTATACACAAGTACTTCTCGATTGTTAAACCTTTAAGAAAGATAATAACACCAAGACGTATTTTAGTGATCATCGTAGTGGTTTGGGTCTCAGCATTCGCGTGCTCCATAGGTCCCATTCTGGGATGGACTGAGATTGTGTATAAATCATCGTCCTGTATATGCGGGCCTCGATTTCCGCGCACTGCTTTGGACATCTCGTATACCTTGTTTCTCGTGTCAGTGGTCTACACATTTCCCATCGTGGCTATGATTATCTTATATTGGAGGATTATAAAGGCGGTTCAGTCGCATTGTCAACGTATTCGTGATACAGCTATCATTGACGATCGAGGCATTTTAGCGCAGAAGAAGATAATAATCACCCTTTTGTTTGTTCTGGTGGCGTTCGTCGCCTGTTGGACGCCATTTTTCATTTACGGGATCTTGACGCTTGTGACCGACGCCAGCCGGCTTTCCCGCCACTTTTTGCGCTCCGCGTACATCTGCGGCTTCCTGTACAGTGTGTGTAATCCTATCATCTTAGGCGCGAGAAACCCGCGGTTTCGAAGAGGATTCAAAGAGCTTATCACATTCCAAAGGATCAGAAGGCCTTCGCTAAGTCCCTCGGGCGCGGGTTCGAGCAAACAAAGCGATGTCGACGGGCGTCCTTCGGCCGACTATTTAGCCGAGAAGAGGTGCTCGGTTTGGTTTCTATCGTCGAGTCAAAACTCACTGTTACGTTTGGAGCCCGAAATTCCACAAAGACGTCGAAAACTACGCTGGATTGAAACAAATCTCTGACAGGGAGAGAACAACTGATTGAAAATCAAAATGATTTGACACCAGCTAATTCAAATAACAAAGCTAATCCGGGGATTGAAAGTCTGTGAACGAGCTCATAAAAGTTTATGCCCTAGTCTAAACACCCAGATGATGTTATTAACAGTTATACTACTTTGACTGAGGGGAAAATACGTAATTAATATTGCACTGAAAGAAAATGTTCAAAGGAGCTCAGTCACGGTATTTTAGGTAAGGTAAGGTAAAGCATTCATTTAAACACGATAAAAAAATAATGGCAATGCTGATGTGGTCGTCTTTATTGAGCCATTTTGACCACGTACAAAATTACCCCTAAATTGAAGGAGACTTGAAAATAGTTGTTTACTAAGATAGAAAAACACCACAGAGATAATAATAAACCATGAAGGAACAAGGATGATTAACGATGGAGAAGATTAACACGGATTACCATCGACGCACTGGAACAATTTGGGCTAAACTTTTCAAGATTTAAGCCATGATTACGTTACCTTAATCCTCTTCAATTCTTCAAACTTGACTTTTTATGAACCTTTTACGTTAAAAAAAAAAAAAAAACTTCAGAGCAGTTTTGATGTTTGCACTAGTTTCTGTGATCCATTTTTTTATGACAGTTTGGAGATGCACCAGGACATTGCATTGCTGGTTGATAATTTTCAGTATTCTCCTCACAAGTCTGTTTTGCGATGCAATGATATTGTAAGAAGAATTAAGATTACTACTGAAATAAGATAAACATGATTATTTGTAAGGTTTACATAGGTTTTTTCAAGTTGCTTACACAACGCACCAGGCAGCACTTTTAAGAAAACAGTCTGCAACGACATAAAGGAAGCGCGAGCTAAAAGCCCTACATGTACTTCTATTCAAGTGTCTAAAGTAGTCAAGCAAGTAATTCGGTTTTGGTTGCACCACGGCTTGAGATTGGCTGAGTTGTCTAATTGGTAAGTAATCCGTTTGGCTTTACGGTTTTTCGAAACTCAATTGAAAAACCTCTTTATTCGCTCGTGATTGCTTTGATCGAGGTGAGCGAATAATCTAATAGTTTACTGAGTAGACTTTCAACTGAAAGTTGCATTTATTGCTCTTGTCATTAGTAACCCTCACGTTTCAGTCATTTTTCTGTTTCTGAATGTTCTTTCAAAACTTCGGAGAACCGATCGAGAAACTTCAAAGCGATGCCATGTTGGTGACCTTATCAAGCCACTGCACACTAATGGCTATAAAAGTGTGCGATGGTTTAGCCAATCAGATTGTAACGTTTGCATTATTTTACCAGTAGAATTGTACTAAACCTCGATAGAAACAGAACTATAGAGCACGAACTTTTGACGTAATGATGCAGAGTGCAAGCAAAAAGGAAGACATAGTGAAAAGTGTATGTAATAAACTAGTTGTTTTCTGGTCTCTTTCTCGCATTGTTTCCTAAAATATTCAAAACCTTTTCAATGAATTTCAATCTTAACCTTCATGAAAGTTTGCGGGAACCCTAAAAAAGCTGTGGACCACACTTGCCTGCGGCTCGCGTTCCCACGGTATTTCTTGCTCTCTTCAACTTCCGCTCACACATCCATAACTCGATAAAACACAGAGAAAATCTTCTAATTTTCTTAAATGTAATCCGAACCAATCATACAAAACACTTCTAAGCATAGCACACTTATGACGACGTATTCCGGCTGTCGCTTGTCTCCGCCGAAAAAAACTAACGTCTGCGAACCTGCGCCAGTAAACGATTTCTGTGACGTAGGAATTCTAAGCCAATCTCAGCTTAGCTCAATTAGCCCCAGAACTACTGCGCGGGGTATTCGCTGCGAGGAGCACTCGAGTTTCATTCTATCACGGAATCTGATTGGCCGAAGAGAAAACAAAAGTCATTACGTCACAGAAATCGTTTCCTGGCTCGGGTTCACAGACGTTATTTTTCGGCGGAGACAAGCGACAGCTGGAAATACGTCTGTGTTCGCAGGCTAAGGTTTGTGCTTACTTCACCAGTGTGAACCAACTTGAGATGAGCACAAACACTAGGAAACGGACCTTTCCTTTCTTGTTGTTTTTTTTTTTTGCTTGTTCTTATTTCCCTATTTTGAATTGAACTTTCGTTAGTTAATGATCCTCCTCATCCGCTATATATCTTTAATTAAGTTATCGTGACCAGATCTTCTCCGGCGCTACTGCAGATAAATATGCATAAAGTACTGGTGCTTATAATGTTATAACGGTGGGGTCAATCAGGCCTAATATTTTTATAAGAAGACATTTCGAACTGCATTTAATTGCAAAAAGAAGCGAAATTGTTATACCTCCCAACTCAAATCCTTTTTCCGACTGGAGGAAAACGTGTCACGTATAGTTGGTCAAAACTCACTAAATCCCTAGGGAAACAACAACATGAACTTTCGAGTCGCATGTGATCAGGTCGTGCTCCTTGAAACTAAGGCAAATTTGTGAGCCAGCCTGCGTAAAGCAAACCATTTCTTCGCAGTTTTTTTTTTTCCCTACTTTTGAGTGGAGAGGTAAAACAAAACACTTAATGACTGGCCCCGTGGGAAACAGTGAGGTTTGTTTCCCTTCGACCTCACCGGCACATACCCGACCTCGGGGCCAGTCATTAAGTGTTTGGTAAACTGCGACGCCTTTGAAGTCATCTTGACTGCATTATCAAGTAGCCTGAAAGGTACGTTTCCGTGTATGGGCCAAGGAAAACTGGCCTGTTTCATTCACGAAATGCTTTTCGTTTATGAAAGAAAACTAAAACTAATTACACAGGTGGACTGAATTCATGCGAAAGTCATCCGAGTTTATTCTGCACGTTTAACCGTTGACACCTAAGAACTCTTATTAGACCGTGCAACACTTAAATATATTCTTACACCTTTTACACTATAAAATATCATCTCGATCGCTATTTTCTTTTCTCTAGTAGTTGCTAATGGAGCCAAGATGACTTCGAAACGTCGTAGTTTACTTTCGCGTCTTTTGTGATCAAGTCATATTTTTAACCCCCCCACCTCCCCACCTCCCCGGGATTTAGAGCACGTACAAAAATATTACCTTTGAGGTCCGTAACGTAAAGTTATGACGTCCAGTGACGTTAAAATGACACCATCTTGGATTTTATGCGGTTTTATAAAACGTCTGAAAACCGCTAATAATGACTCTAGATAAGTCGAAACCCAATCAAGAAAGATATGATGAGCTAAGAAAGTAAACCTAACTGCAAAAAAGTTAAATTGATTCTTATTACAGACAATAAGTTTTTAAAAGAAGACTGGCAAAATATGGTTGCCATGGAAACTTCAAGATCCTTGACCAATGGCATATAATGTAATTGTTCACAGATAAATTTGAGGAAAAGGCGCCAATTTGGAGTTCATTGCTGAAATACTTTTTTTAAAAGTATTTCAAAGAGTGGCAAGTCTTCATGGCTGGTGAGGGCTTTCAAAAACTCGCTCTTCCCCCAGGTCAAGTAAAAGTAAAGTATTAAGTAAAAAGGCAGAATAAACGGAATGAATGAATGAATGAATGAATGAATGAAAGGTCTGATTAAGGTTAATCGATCAATGAACTATTCATATTCAGTTGTTCTTTCAGCGATATGCCAGTTAATTCAGTATAATTCATTACAATTTAGTATAATTTAGTATAGTTTAATTGTCTCATTACACTTCCACAGTACTTTTCAATAATCTTCACAGTCGCAGAGCTCATTTTTGTCCTCCAATTGGAAACAACTTGCTGTGAGTTGCGACTGGTACTGTAAGCACTTCTGTGACCACTTCGTGAATTTGTCGTCTCGTGCAGCCATTTCTTGATGGTATCTAGCATTTCGATTCCAGTAAACTTGTACAGTTCATTCGCTACTGGTAATGGATGCTGAGCGAGTTCCTCAAAACGGATCAATTTGTACCCATCGGGTAAAGAAGGTCTTAACAACTTTCCGACCTCGACATCAAACTCCATTTGATGGCAAATCTTCTTCACAAACCATGATAATTCGCGTCTTGGGTCATGTGATCTCCTAAAAAACTTCAAAGACTTCAAAGATTCCACAACAGCTCTTGGATCTCGGACCAAATGAATTATTTTACATTCACTCGCACTACCGGATGAACAACGTTGTAAAAGCTTCTCATTCGTCCACTCGCCATGAGAATTCAGTATTCTGGGTGTGAGTATCTTTGCAACAAACACGCTGTAATTTTTTTTGCACACGTCCTCAAGTTGGTGCGATTCAAGCTTGCGGCAGACCATAGATGTTCCGTTCTTGAGGCAGAATGGAGGAGAGGTTAGTGCAAAGCTGTGATGACGATCTTGCGGTAGGTGGTAACGGATAAATATCTCACTGGCAAACCTGCAGTTTGTAATATCTTCAAAAAATTCAAAAACTCTGTTTTGGTAAGACGAGGAAGAGAAATCAAACTCGAATAAGGAATTTCTAGTGAAACTCCTTTGCACAGTACGTACTGGCTCAAAAAGGTAGAAAACACCTGGGTGCTGATTGAAAATGTCACCCAGAAATGAAGATCCCGATCTTGGAAAAGACATGATAATGATATTCACCCTCTTGGGTTGTTTTATTAATTGTGAATTCCTCTCCAAGGTGAATAGCAACTGTGATTCAGGATAGATCGCTCTCACAATGGTTGTGTTGTCAAAGGTACGATAAATTCCTCTCTGTACTGGTGTCTTGAATGTGTACATGAAAGTTAGAGAGAAGAATACTAGACCCACTGAACAGGATACGAAAGATTTGTTGGAAACCAAGTGTGTATACCATGGTTTTGTTCCTATTCTCCGAGCCGTATGATTCATTGTCTAGAGTGCTGGTAACAGGCCTGCAACATGAATAAAACAGATGCTAAATTCTCAATGCACTATGAAATGGCCTATTCCCTCTGCAAGACGCGCCTGCAGGGAATCATGGTAGTTGAATTCATCGAAACAATTATCCAGTCCAAGATGATGAATACAACTACCATGATTCCCTGCAGGCATGAATAGGTCATTTCCAAGTTACCTTGTGCCTCTGTTTCAAAACGAGTCCTGCTGCAAAACCTTTCACTGATATGAAAATGAGTTTGATTAGCCGCCCGTGAATAAACGTCTAGGCGGAACACACAAGACTCGTTTTGAAACAGAGGCAAAAAGCAACTCGGACATTAAAGACCGGAAATTACACTAGAGCTATAACACACCAACTGCGGTCATAACCACATCAATAAGACGCATGTTGGAAAACAAAATTCGTTTAACTTGACGTTCCGTATGTTTGGACATGCATCTTCAGAAGTGACCATTTAGTTTATGTGTTATTTCTTATTAGGCTACGATGGTATAAGAAAAAGAGTTTTTACGATAACTGCAGAAATTCTCGCGCGCTCAACGGCTAATTTTTATTGTCAATAAGCGGACAGACACTTGAATTTATAATTTATGCGATGCGTCAACGAGCGAGAGCGGACAATTTGACAATTTGTTATCGTAGGAAACAATTTGAGGTCAGGATTTCATACGTCTGTCCTGTTATTGACAATGAATTTCGTCATAACATTGTCAAAGTAGTCTGCGGATCCACGGCTACTTTGACAATGTTATGACGAAATTCATG